TTAACATCAGTATCGATATCGGTTATCGGCTACATGAGTTTTAAAATATCGGCATATCGGATATCGGCCAAAATCCCAATATCGTGCATTCCTAGTGGAGACAGAGGTTTTGTGTAGTGAGGATGGCAGCAGGAAGCTGGGACAGAAATCTGTGGAACTCCTTGTTGGAAAACTTCAGCAGATTATTCAGAGATTAGATGGAAGGCAGCAGTGTGTGTGGCCATGTTTTGGTTACCCTGTGGAATAGGCCTAATTTGGGGGACTTAAGAGGCGTTCAGTAAGTAATCCCCCTGACCCACTTCTAGTTGGTTGATCTAGCTGAAATTTTGCAATTTATTTACATCTCTATAGATTAAGTGGCAGATTACAGCTATGAACAAGTGGTTTCTGATGTACAGGTGTCAGAACTGAGTTGAAGCTAAAATAGAGCCTGTTGAGTGTTGAGCTGTGATACTTTTTTTTGTATCTGAAAGGACGCATAACACAGAAGACTTTAATGAAAAGGTCAAATGATGCCCCATCGTATGGCCTTGTAAAATGTTTTTCATCGGCATAAGTTGCTTTCGTTTCATCAAAGTCTCTGACTTGACTCAGTTCAAACTCCTGCACTGGAAAAACGATCTAGAAATAAGTAAAAGAATTCTTAAATTAAATGTATTTACTCTTAATTTGAGTAGGTAAATGAAAGAGTTTGCCGATGGAATAAGTATTTTTACTCTTAAAATAAGATAATTAGATAAATTGCACATGAAATAAGACAATGTAACTGTGTTTTGGCAAAATGTCTCTTATCTTCTCAATTCAAGAACAAATGCACTCATTTTAAGAAAAAATGACTTATCTAGATATTGATTTTTTTATTGTGTGCAAATCAGAAACCACAATTAGTTCAGAGATGTAATTTACTAGTTAGTCTGTACATAAATAAATCATTGCACATGCTAAATTGCAGCTGGATTAAACAACCGGCAGTGTGTCAGGGGCGTTACTTATATTATATTGCTGCTTGTTGGGCCAAGAACTGGTCCTCTGGGGGTGGGGGGTGAGCTCCTCCTTACCTTTAAACTCATGGATGACGTATTTGACCGGCTCTCCGGTGGTTGGAGTGTAGATCATCTCTACTTTCCCAGGTCCAGGCACCACAAAGTCAGTGGCTTTGTACTGTGGAGGACAGAGAGTCAGCACGGCAACGCAATGAGTTCATGAACAAGCATAAAGGTGTTGGCAGGAAGAACCAGTGGGAGGAATAAAAGGAAACCCTTTATGTAAGCAGCAGACCCCTCACCTTTCACCTACTCTTTACTCAGAAACCGACCTGGTAAATCTGAGCCACAACCTGATATCTAATTGAGGCAGAGTGCAGGTCCAAAGAGCAGCGGCTGAAATGTAATTATTGATCAACAGTCTCCTGGCAACCCCAGCATGCCGACTCCCTGCCTGATCTGCTTTACCTTCTGCACTGGAAAAACAATCTAAATCTAGATTAGTCATTTTTTCTTCAAATAAGTGCATTTGTTTCTGGATTAAGGAGGTAAAAGAGACATTTTGCCAATGGAACAAGACATTTAAAATAAGAAAACACAATTGCATTGTCTTATTTCAAGTGCATATTATCTAATTATCTTATTTTAAGAGTAAAAATACTCATTCCACTAGCAAACTATCTGATTTACCTGCTCAAATTAAGGGTAAATACACTTAATCTAAGAGATTTTTACTGATTTCTAGATTGTTTTTCCAGTGCATCAGCAGCCCAGAGGACGGGCTCACCTGGTCTCCGTGCGCGTGCCTGCCGATGATGATGGGCTTCACCCAGCCGGTCACCAGGCGGGGGATGTTCTTGCAGATGATGGCCTCCCTGAACACGGTGCCTCCCAGGATGTTACGGATGGTCCCGTTGGGCGAGCGCCACATCTTCTTCAGCTTGAACTCCTCCACGCGCTTCTCGTCTGGCGTGATGGTGGCACACTTGATCCCCACGTTGTACCGCCGGACCGCCTCCGCCGCCTCAACCGTCACCTGGTCATCTGTCGCATCTCTGTTCTCCATGCCGAGGTCGAAGCTGAGCAGGCGGATATGAACAGACTGGGTTTACTGCTGGATGAAAGCTAATACCAACAACCTGCTGTTAGCACACAGGTGTGCAAACATGATGATCTAAAACACTTTGATCGTAACATTAGAAATGAGCAATCTCCTGTCCAGGGGTGATGCT